ACAGAGGAACAACGGACTGGAGAAACAGTCGTACCCCAAGATGGGGAAGACTGAACAGTAATCGTCGTCGAAGGAGGAAGCGGAGGAGGAGGCGGAGGAGAAGTAGGAATGCGAGGAAGAGGAAAGAGGAAGAGGAAATGGACAAAGAGGGACCTGAGAGGAGGAGGAAGAGGAGGAGAAGGTGGAATTGAGAGAGGATGAGGAGGAGGAGGAGGAGGAGGAGGAGGAGGAGGATGATGACGAGGAGGAGGAGGAGGAGGAGGAGGAGGAGGAGGGAGGGGATGGGGCAGGAGGAGGAGGAACAACAGGACGAGGGGGAGGGGGAGTAGGAGGCTGAGGCACAGGAGGAACAAGAAGAGGAAGATGATGATGATGCTGATGATGATGATGCTGCTGATGATGTCGATGCTGATGATGATGCTGATGATGATGATCATGATGATGATATTGATGATGATGATATTGATGATGATGATGATGATGATGATGATGATGATGATGATGATGATGATGATGTTGATGATGATGATGCTGGTGCTGATGCTGATGTTGATGCTGATGATGACGATGACGACGATGATGATGATGATGCTGCTGCTGATGATGGTGATGGTGATGGTGATGGTGATGATGATGATGATGCTGCTGATGATGATGATGCTGATGCTGATGCTGATGATGATGATGATGATGATGATGATGATGATGATGATGATGATGATGATGATGATGATGATGATGATGATGATGATGATGATGATGAGGGCGAGGGGACGGAATGAGGAGGAGAGCGTGGGAAAACGAGGAAGAGGAGGCGGAGGAGGATAAGGAAGATGAGGAGGAGGAGGAGGAGGAGGAGGAGGAGGAGGAGGAGGACACAGCACTAGCTGGCGGACGCCGCGCTCCAACAAGGCGCCAGGCGCGCTCGAAGAGGAGGATACGGCACTGGGAGGAGGAGGAGGAGGAGGAGGGAGGAGGAGGAGGAGGAGGAGGAGGAGGAGGAGGAGGAGAGGAGAGAGGAGGAGGAGGAGGAGGAGGAGGAGGAGGAGGAGGAGGAGGAGGAGGAGGAGGAGGAGGAGGGGGGGAGGAGGAGGAGGAGGAGGAGGAGGAGGAGGAGGAGGAGGAGGAGGAGGAGGAGGAGGAGGAGGTGGGGGAAGTGGGGACGGCTGGAGGGAGGAGGAGGGTTCAGCGGATGAGGAGGAAAAGGAAGAGGAGGAGGGGGATGAGGAGGAAAAGGGCGGCCAGTCGAACCAGAAGCCTCTTGAATGCAATTCGAAGATGAGCAGCCTCCTGAATGTGTCTCGGGGTCTCCTTCTCGAATGTCTCTTGGGAGCTGGAAACCTCTTGGGGCGTCTTGGGGGGGGCATCTTGGCGGGCCCAAGGCCGTCTTTGAGCGTCTTGGGTGTCTCGGGGGTCCTCTTGAGGCCTTTGGGTCGCCAGGGCGTTTCTTGTGGCCCTTTTGGGGCGATCTTGGGAGCTGGACCATCTTGGAGGACATCGATCAAACAAGAAGCAAACCTGAATCAGCGCTGCCCCTCGGGAGCCACAGCAATCGCCTTTTGGGGCGCTCTTGGGTCTGTTCAGGGGCTCTATTGGGCCTCTCTTGGGGCTCTATGGGGTCATCGCTGAACCATATTGCAGCCTCGGAAAGACCATCGAAAGCAAAACGACGGCAATGCAGAAAGCATTGGCTTTCCTTGTTTGTGTTGAAAGTGTTTTCCCCAACCATCCTGCGGTATTGAGTCCTCGTTTTGAAGGGACAGCACTCCGCGTCTCATTGCTCCTTCCTCCGCCCCTCCCTCCCTCCTCCAATCCCTGCCTCTGTCTCCCCCGCCCAGCACAGCGCTTCGTGGCCCCATAGAGAGCTCCACCTGATGCCCCAGTGGCGGTGTGCACATGCGCCCCCCCCCCCCCCCCACACCCACCCACCCACCCACCCACCCACCACCCACCCACCACACCCACCCACCCACCCACCCACCACACACACACCACACACACACACACACACACACACACACACACACACAACACACACACACACACACACACACACACACACACACACACACACACACACACACACACACACACAGCGCTTCGTGGCCCCAAAGGGAACCCCACCTAAGGCCCAGTGGCGGTGTCCACATGCGCCCCCCCCACCCACCCAGCACAGCGCTTCGTGGCCCCGTAGGGCTCCGCCTGGGGCCCCAATTGCGGTGTCCACATGCGCCCCCCCACCACCACCACCACCACCCACCCAGCACAGCGCTTCGCGGCCCCATGGGGACCTCCACCTAAGGCCCCACTGGCTGTGTCCCACGGAAGGCCCCGGTGGCGGTGTCAGCACTCGTGGCCCCATAAGGAGCTCCACCTAAGGCCCCAGTCGCGGTGCCCACATGCGCCCCCCCCCATCCAGCACAGCGTTTCGCGGCCCCATCAGGGGCTCCACCTAAGCCCCCAATAGCGGTGTCCACGTGCACCCCCCCGCCCCACCCAGCACAGCCTTTCGTGGCCTCATGGGAGCCCCGCCTAAGACCCAGCGCCGGTGTCCACATGCGCCTCCCCCAATCCAGCACACTGCTTCGCGGCCCCAGAGGGAACACCAACTACGGCCCCAAGTGGCGGTGTCCACGTGCGCCCCCCGCATCCAGCACAGCGCTGCATGGCCCCATGGGAAGCTCCACCCAAGGCCCCAGTGGCTATGTTCGCATGCGTCTCCCCCACCCAACGCAATGTTTCGTGGCCAATAGGGAGCTCCACAGGCGATGCCCACAACTGGGGTACTCACAACTACATAAGGGTTGGGTCCTTCGCCAAGCTAATTTGCTTCTTGGGTGCCTCTTTGGGGGTCTCGGAAGCCTTTTGGAGCCGTCTTGGGGCGGTCTTGGGACCCCTTGGAACATCAGGGGGACCATCTTGAAGCTTCTTGCGCTATTTTGAGCCATCTTGGAAGTCATCTTGGGCTCTCCGAAGCTCTTGGAGCGGGCTTGGGCCATCTTGGACGCTCCAACTACCCGCGGGGCGCCCCGCCCAGGTCCGGCGGAAGGGGCAGCTACGCTAATCCATGGGCCAGAGCGCGTAGGCGGAAAAATCAGACGCCAAGGCACCGGGCATCGCATGTAATGCACATTGGACATGGGTACTAAGTAATCACCTTCACCACAGTTGGTTGCAATGTTTTCCCCGTAGTTCGCTATTCGATGGGGTCCTGCGGCCAGGTGCGTTCCAGGCCAAAATATGAGCAACCAAAATCCGGCGCGCGCATTTGGCCCGCTCGCGTTTGGGTATGCCCTTTCTCCTTTGACGCGCATCCTCGACTGAATAGACGCTGTCCGGCTGAAAAGTGAGTCGTCGCAGAGAATCTGCATTGGGAGCCCGAGCGATTCTGCAAAATCGTAAAATATGTTGTTGCCGTTGAAGAAGTCCTTCGCTACGCTTCGTTGCCCAGCTTGCTCTCGCGCCATGCTGCAAGAATCTCGCGTAAGAAAGGCAGGGGGTATATGTAGCATTATCCATGGGCATCTGGCTTGAAATCCACCCAACCGTCTTCTTTCACCATTGTTTAACCCAACAGCGTTCACTGAATGCGTGATTCTGGATGTCGCCAACGCTTGGAATAGATCAATCCTCACCCCCAACAACCAAGAGCGCCGAGCTCGAAGGGCTGCATCTTCAACAGGCCAACTCCGAGCTCATGTTTCATACTCTGTCTGCGCAACATCTTGGTGGCCAGACTGGGCCGAGCAGGCGCTTCAAAAAACATGGGACCCCCCGGGCGACTGCAAGCTGGGAAACCCGCCTGAGACATTCACAAGTTGACGGTTTAAAGGACAGGCGAGCGGTGGGGACGGCGGCGGTGCACTTGAGCCGGCGAAGCGGCGGCCGAGTGGGAAGAGGGAAAGGGTTCGGAGATCGCCGCCAACAACCGGGGGCGCCAAGCTCGAACAACTGCACCTTCAACAGGCCAACTTCGAGCTGATTTGTCATGCTCTGTCTGCGCAGCAGCTTGGCGACCAGGCCGGGCTGAGCAGGCGCCTCGAAAACGAGCGCGGGAATCTCGGGCCGACTACAAGCTGAGAAACCTCCCAGGCCCAAGCTGTGCTCTGGAGCCGCAAATCTATAAAGGGGCCATCCGAAGCGGCTGTCGAAACGCGTGCAATATTAAGAGCGTTGACGGAACGTGCGAGCCAGACAACATCTGCCTGCCCTAACTTCTTGGGAGACTGCGCAGCAGCTGTGGTCCAATTCACTGAGTTTCCAAGGAGTTTGCCAACGGGGACGAGGTGCGGCCTATTTGTGAAGCAGCGGACGCCGCGGCCGTGACAAAGACGACTGACGCGGGGCAAGCTCGGAGTCCACCACCCCGCTAACCGAGTCCGCTTACGCCACATCGCCCCGAAAGAACACTGATCTAACGCAAGTTCTGGAGCTTGCGGGGGCGCTCTGAGACTACTCATCCCAGGCTCCTTCCAAGCCAGGGACGACTGCGAATTCTGACACATCATCGGAACACGAAACTACACGCAGGCCCGAATTAGCCGACGCGTGGCCGCGAGGGTTCAGCTCCCCGCCCGAAGCCGTCTGGCTTGGGCAAGCGTGGGATCGGGGATGCCGAAAGTGCACCAGGGCTGTCGAATTTTGTAAAAATGACAATTCGACCAGGACGAGCAGGGGAAGGCGCGCCAGGCACCCATGACAAGGCCCGCTGAGATCCACCCTAAGGCATGGCTATGCACATTACGATCCGTTAAATCAATATCAGATCCTCGCGAACTGTCAGAGGCAATTCCTGATTCACCCTGCTGTTTCATGGCGCGCAGCACTGGAGAAGTACCCGAGAAGAGGTCAAGGAAAAGCTTGCAGTCAGGCGATTGGCTCATAGCTGTGCGAAGATGCTGCTGCAGCCGTCTCCGCACCTCCTGCACCGCTAATCTGTCGCGACGGTGTCCACATCTTTAGCAGGTGTCAAGCCTTTCGGCGCCGTCGGCCGCCAGCCTGGGTCAGCTGCACGGCTCTCGTGTTGGGCGGCTGCGGGCAAGCCCGAAGTCCCGCCGGGATCTCCAGCAGGCGATTTCCCACCAGCAGCCCGTGCTCGCGGGCGGCGACCGTCATGTTGTCGGCCTGCTTCAGGGCGCGCGCGGGCTTCTCGTAGCGTCGAACTGACGAGTCTGCTCGCCACCTGCCCCTCTTCATTTCCTCCAGGGCCCCGGCGTTCCGAAGGGCGTCGTCCGACGCCCCCCCGCGCCTGGGCATGCAAGGGTGAGGGCGCAGGTTCGACAGGTCGGCAAGCTCCACCAACTGGGCAAAGTTCCTGGAGAAGGTCACAGAGTCGAAGGACCACAGGGGCCGCGTCCGCGGCGCTGCCTTCGCACGGTGGAAGAAGTCCTGGAGGGGGCAGAACTCCACGTTGTCGAGCAGCAGGCTCTCGTCGAACTCGTGAGTCTTCGATGCCACCGACAGCTCCGCCGGCGCCAGCAGTAGCGCCCATGACGCGGCGTCCGTGCCAGGGTGCGGCGGGACGGCCTGCCCACCAGCACTCGGTGGGGTGAAGGTACGTCCTGAACATCAGCACGAAGGAAAACGCCATCTCTTGCCAGCCGATCGCCATCGCCGAGCCCACAGCCGCACAAAGCGCTAGCCAAGAAAATGGGGCGCGGCTGAGGCCTGGCGCCAGGCGGCGAAAGCCCCGCATAGCATCCTTTGCCCGTGGAAGCACGGTGCGCCCTGGGATCTTCAGCTCGGGGATGCGGAACTCCACGCTCGTCACCACCTTCTTGCCCGCGTCGTGGTTGAACCCGCTAAAGTACAGGTCCTCGAGGTGCCCCACGAGTGCGAAGTCGATCTCGGCAGGCGTTGACAGCGGCATCCCTGCCAGGGCCGCCCACTTGCGGAAGTCGGAGAAGCACCGATCGCGCAGCGTCGCCGAGTTGCGAGCCACCCGGTTGACCTCCAGGAAGTAGGCGCCCAGGTCCCTGCGCGACGAAGCGTGGGCCCGATGAACCTCGACGCGCCGTCGAGCGCGGGCCCGTCGCTGCTGCGCGCTGGGCAGCGCCGAGGCTACCGCCTCCAAGGGCCGCTTGACCGGCAGGACACCGACCCTCGACCTCAGAACAGGCTCCCTCGCTGTCGGAGGAGCTGCTGGAGTCGGCGGAGCTCGCCGCAGAACGCCAGTCGCCGATGGTGCCGTCGGCACCTGTGATGACGAGCGGCGCAGGAGGCGCCCACCAGCTGGCCGCGGCCGCTCCAGTGGCACCACCGCTCCTGAGCTCGTCGCGCGCAAGGGCCTCGACAGCGCGGGCATCGCGGGGGCCGGCGCCACCGCTCCGCGCCACGGGCCCCTTGAGCCGGGATGGCCCATCGGCGGGGTTGACCTCGCTGGGGGACCAACGACTGATAGACTCTGCGTCGCCTGCGAGACTGAATGCACAAAGCAGACAAACGTGGTGATTGATGCTGACATGTGTAGCTTCCCCCTTCATCCAAGACTATCTCCAACGTTGGCGCGACGATGATGGAAGCTTCCAACTGACCGAAGCATGTGTCGGGCGGCAATGGCCGTAGCCGCGCCCTCCGTTGACGTGATGCCCTCTGCGCGCCGCCGGCGGCCCCTGGCCCGCAGCTGCCAGCTGCTGAAGTCGCCGATGACGCTGCGGTCGAGGTGGTTGAAGGTGACGCCCAAGTCCGAGGAGGCGGTGGCCTCTGCGTCGGCGCCTGCCGCCGTAGCACCGGGGCTGGCAGCGGCGGCCAACGCCGCCGCGCGAGCCTGCACCGCGTCGGCCACAGCGAAGCGCTAACGCTCCTGCTGCCGCCCCCAAACCCGCGCCTGCTCCGCGCCCAGGAACTTCCGAACGACGCCGAAGCCCCCGTTGTCGATCAGGTTGGCGCCCTCGGAGTCGGTCGTGGTCATGTAATTAGCCAGACCAGGGGCGCTTGGCATCGGTGCAGGCCAACGGGGGCAGCGATGTCATCCACTCGAGCTCACGTCGAACGGACGGCCAGAGCGGCACCCGGCCCAGACCCGCCATGTCCACGAAGCGGTAGCACGCACGCGGCAGCGAGGGCACGCACCGCCGGAGGATAGCCGACCAGGTACAATGCCACAGGAGCGAATGTATCTCAGGGCCGCTAGCGCGCCCTACCGCCGAGACGTGAGACAAGGCGAGCCTGACCTTCCAACACCTCGAGTGACCCACAGATATGCGGCCAGAGGCGCGATGCAAGTCCAGGCCAGTGAAGTGCGCGAGGTCGGGGCCGTGCTCAATCGTCTTGCAGTCTGACCCGTCGGCCTCCAACTGCCTGAACACCGCGTCTGCCGTGGCTGTGACACGCTTCTCGTCAGTGCTAGTGATAGCAGCGCTGTCAACATAGACGGCCGCTGCCACCTGCGCGTCAGTCAGGTCGGGAGCCGGCCCCTTGTCTCTGAAGCATTGGCTGGTGGGAGTGCCCACCTTCGGAGTGCCCACCTTCTGAACCGATGCCGCCATCATCTCCTGGCAGAAGCGCAGCGCCCACGACCGTCCCATGGCCATGACCTCAAGGCGTGGGCTGATCCAATCGGCATCCGAGGCTGCGGACCACCCAGGCGCCAGTTGACGGATCAGCCGGTCTGAAACGCGAGGCTAAACATAATGATCATATACTCCTGCATTCCACATCCATCTGCGAGAACACCAGCTCGTCCGCAAGCTGCAGCTCGACGCTGGCCCAAGCACCTAGCGTCGGAAGGACTGTGCGCACTGCCTCCCAGAATCTTGCATTCACCAGCCTAGTGTCCAGAATCATGCGCTGCATGCCATTCTTCCTTCTGACGAAAAATATGTCAACTGTCGATGCTTGGCGTGGCCGCAGGGAGCGCAACCCCAGGGGTACATATCGGCAATCAGCTTCGCATGCGTCATCTTGTCCCTGATCAAAGTGGGGTCGGAGTCAGGCTTCGCAAGGGGGTCTGGCAGTATCAGACATGTCCTGGTCGCTCCGCATGAGCGTCTTGGCGCACTGGTTCCAGCGGCACAAGAAATTCCCCGTCAGCACCTGGGCACCGTCGGCAACTCCTCCCCGAGAGGGCATCGATATCAAATCACACTGGAAAGCAACGTGGGGATCAGCGTCACCATGCCCCGCTCGAGGGCCGCAAAGCTCCTCGAAGGCCTCCACGACCACGCGCGGGGGTGGAGGAACAGCTCGAAGGACGTCAGAGTTATGCCGATGCGCCTCGCGCTGGGCGCGCAAGAGCCCCAGCCGCGATTGGCCCAGCCTGACACCATACAAGTCATCGATACTCCCCACTGCAGAATTGACGGCGGCCTGCCAGTTTGCCTTCACCTTCAGCCGCCTCCTCACTGACCTTAACAAAGGACCAGATCCATCTGAATTTGTCTGCGAAGCGCCGCAGAACGGCACCGTCATCGGGAGGAGCTCTCTCGCGACGGGCTGAAGCCCTAGTGTCGCGGGCCGGTCGGGCAAGCCGGCCCACGTGGCAGTCGTGCTTCAGGCGCGGCAGCAGGGCCCGCCGCGGCCTTGTTGCCCTTCCAATCGGCTTCGCCTTTGCCCTCGCGTTGGCAGCAGGTGCATTCGCCGACGAGCGCAGCGGGTCGGCGGCCAAAACGACTGCCGCCGCCGGGTCACCGGGGCCGAGAGAGAGGAACTCGTCGTTCGCAAGGTCGTCTCCGTAGTAGTCGGGCCGCAGCAGAAGGCGCGGATGCCTGAACTCGGCCAGCTGCGCCCGCCTCAAGAAGAGCTCAGGGGGGACTAACTCTGGCGCATTGAGCTGGTCATACGTGAGCATGTACTCAAGCCCCTCCATGGCCGTCTCGTGGTCTGAGGCCCCTGCAGGTCGCCGCTGGTGGGCCGACAGGTATGCTTCCACCGCGTGCTCCTGGCCCTCGGATGCCCGTTCGTTTGGACAACGAAGGTCAAGCACCACATCGCCGTGCGCGGGCCCGTCAACGGCCAGCTGCCCCATGCGCTTTCAGTGCAACAGTCGATCGCCCCATTCACATATTTGTGCCGCTTGCCCACCTTGTCGCGAGAGAGATCAAGGATCCTGGCGTCCAGCTCTGGCATGGCGGCAGCTGCGGTATCAGAACAATCGACCAGCACCATGAACTCCCCGCTGCGGCTCACCAGCGCGATGCCAGGCGCATACAGGCACTTGTCCTTAGCGCCAGAGGTGAAGTCTGAGTCGCCGAGGCCGCCGCTGGAGACGCGCCGCCACCCGCCCCTAGAGCGGGGGGTAGATGGCCGACTCCGGGCGCCAGCGCCGCGTCCTTTATCAGGTCGAGCACCGCCTGCTCCTCTGGGCTGCGAGCGGGCGGAGGCAGCGGCGCCGCCGTGGCCGCGACCTGCTCCGCAACGCATCGCAACGCCGTCAGCGCCGCGGGCTGCGCGATCCTCCTTGCGACCCCGAGACGCCACCGAGGACCGCCGCCCTGGGCTACCTCGCCCAGACAAGCTCGCAGAGCCTCCGCGAAGGCCGCGGGCGCATGGGCGGCGAGAACGCGCGCGCCCGATTCAAGTGCGTGGCGCGGCCGATTCCCGATGCTGGAACGCGGGCCCCGTCTGACGTGGTGCCCGCGATGCTCGCCAAGGGCGGCGCCGACAACTCCTTGGGGTAGACGTCGAAATCGGGCGTCATGATCCAGTAGATCGAGCTGGCATCCGCGAGCGGCTCGCCCTCCATCACCCGACGATGCACCTCGAGTGGACATCGGTGCATCACCATGCGGCGATGCCGCAGGCGAGGCTCGTCGGGATACTTCAACCGCACCTCGCGCCCGCCCAGCTAGCACTGATCGCCGGGCGACTCCGACGTGAGAGCAAGCCTGGAACACCAGCGTGACCACTACGCCGAGCAGCACACCAAGGGCGAGGCACACGCTGCAGATCCGATAAGGACCGCGGACTGGATCGAGCAGGTCAGCGCTTGTTCGGCCAGCGGCCGCAGCACAGGAGACGCCAGGGATGCCACCCTGGCCGCGCTTGAGAAGAGCCCCATAGATTTGTGGCGCCGCCAAAAATGCACTTGAGCCGCGGAAGCGGCGGCCGGGTGGGAAGAGGAAAAGGGCTCTGAGTACAAATGCAGTTTCGCGACCCGCTCAGAGGCAGCGCGCGTCAACGCCCGGTTACATGTGGAAAATTCGGCCCATGTTGCTCCTGTCCACCTGTTCAACTCGGTACCCAACTGCCCAGTATTGTATGGAGTACCCAAGCATGCCATGCCATGTTTCTCCGCTATATCTTGCTCGAGCGGCGCCCTCAACATCGCGTCATTCTCTATCTTGATCATCTGCAATTCGCCCCAGGGCAATGCCTGTCCAACTTGCGCCCCGCCAAAGCGAGGTTGCCCAGGAGATGCTGCAAACCGGTCTGGCTTCTCCCGACGAGGAGCGCGTCGTCGGCGGCGCGGCACCGCCGAAAGATTTCCAGAAACCACGTCACCCGTGTCATTGTCGCCCGGGCTCTTCTCGGCGCCTCGCAGGACCGATCGTCGACGCGACAAGACAGACGGCAACAACGGACGCCCCTGCGATACTCTGGACATCTATTTCCATTCGGAAGACTGGAATGCCCATCGGTCACGCAAAATCGTCTAGCCCCGCAAATATTCCCGATCAGCGCAATCATGTTCAGGGGCGCTCCAAAATTGCGCAGAGTTGCCCGAGAAGCCTCGACGTTATGGAACCGAATGCTTTTCCCCAGTTCAGAACGGTAAATGTTGCCCCGCCATCTTTCCTAGCGCGCGCGAGCTCGATATGACGTCGCACTGCGCGAATGGCATCTGTCGCGCCTCTCCCACGGAGAAAGAAGCATGGGAACTGCGACGACCGGTCTGCATCACCTGCCTGATGCAGACGTTCTAGCGCGCGGTGATCACCGTGGCGCGCCGCCGCGTTTCGGGAACTCCATGCCCCGCCCGCGCTGCGCTGCATAATTCCGTCGCCCACCTCAGCTCCAGCTCGCCATGTGCATGCGAAACTGCTCCCCAATACTCTGATGGGAAATCGTCAGGCCCTGCTGCTTTCCCCATTGAACTTCCCGCGCAGCCCCCCCCGCCTCCTGGATCGTAAGCGCCGGCTCCTGGAAGGGAGAGGTCGGCCCCGAGGCTTCGTTGTCGACCAAATTTGCTGGCCGCACTGCCCATTGCACTCGCCCCAAGTATATCGCCATGGCGTCAGCGCGCTCATGGCTTGCAACTAACTGACCGCGTCAGTTTTGAAGTGTGCCTTGCCTGTGTGGCCGTGGTGTGCAATATCCCTGGATGTCTTCCCAGCACCCCGGTTAAATGTCTGAGTCCGTCCATTTTGTCATATTCATTTTGCGAGATCGTCTTTCCTCCATCAACGAGCTTCGCTCTTCTGGCCGATCGCCGCTGGCGCGAGTTCCGCCTCCTCGGCGCAGCAGTGCCAGCGCGCGCTGCGACGCCCATGGTCGAATTACTCCTTCTGGGCGGCGCGGAAGAACGGCGGCGGCTACTGGCGGCGCATGCGCGCCTTGTTCCAGCGGGGCGCCCGCGTTCCCGGCGCTCGAGCGGCCAGCCATTCGCTCGAGAGCGCTTCGGCATGCAATGATTGCACTGCGTGATCTCGCGTCAGGTCTCTGTCTTGACGGGGCTCGCGCGGCAGTGGATCGGCGCCCTGAAAATGTTGAACACCTGCTATGGACGCGTACTGGTCCGTGGCCAAAGCTGCATCACGACGCGCTCTTAAACTCCGCATCTGGCCCAGCGCGGCAGCGTCGCATACGAGCTGGCATGTTGCGTCTTTCCTCGATGATCGGCGCCGATGGCGCGGGCCCGGGCCCGCGAGGGTCGCGGCGCCCCCCAATGGCGCTCAAAATGTGCATTCGCCAATTTCACCTCGAGGCCGACGCGGAATTCAATCGGCACATCGCGATTGGGTGCTTCGCCTTGGCGGAGGGCCCGCCTTCCCCAAGTGAGCGGCCCGATGATCGACGATCCCCGGGCGCCTGCATGCCCGACTCGCGCACTCGCGCCCCGCGCAATGAACTTGCCGGCTGCGGCCGCGCATGTCTGGAACTCGGCCCCCGCGGCACTCCGGAATGCGCGCCTCTCCGGCAAGGGCTTCAAGTTGCCGGGGGCGCCCGCGCCAAATGTCCCGAGCACGCGGCATCCCACTTTGATTTTTAATTGCACCATTATTTCGGAAATTTCCTCGCACCATCGAACGCAAGGCGGGAACTCGGAGAGACGACGAAGCCTACTCTGGCCCCCGATGTTTCACCTGCGCCTTCTCTCGAAAGAATGATGCGGCACCCGCTGTTCTCGTCTGCGGCACCCCCTGTTTTTCCGTTTTCTGCACGCGTAAGACATGTCTTCCGCGTGCTTCCATGTGCCTTGCGATTTTCATTTTTCTGCCGGATCAAACCGCGCGCGTTCCAGGTGGCGCGCCGCAGTCCTGCGCGGCGTTCGCGAAGACGCGCCCCGGCAGGATAGCTGGCATCTGCGCCGGGTCCGCCTGCGGGGAACATCGAATATGGAGAAATTTCAGGTTCAGCGGCCCCGGTGGATGAAATAGCCCGGCGCCCTTGGCACCATCAATTCTCACGTTTCCACGTGCCGGCCCCTTTGGCCGCGTTCGTCGGGATAGTTGCGAGGCGGCATTCGGCTTTCTGCTGGATTTCCGCCCGTTCAGTCGAATTTTGTAATTTAGCCAATGTTTCTCAGTCCGTGCCCAGCCATCTGATCTTCCAGGAGTCCGCTTCGATTTCGCACGCATGGTTGTCCTGCCCCCAGCCACGATGATGTCAATGTTCGCATAAACTTTGAAATTCCGTTTTTCGAGTCCCCATCGCGCCAGCAGGTACCGCAAGCCAAGCAGCAGCGAGGAAATGATTCGTGACGCGATCGTGGTGTCGAAGTCGCACCATACTCTGCTGCTGCCACCCCTGGCTTGGAGCGCCTTGGTAGCAGCCTCTTGAAGACGCGGTTGAGCTTGATGTCACATGCCTGAGGTGTCGAACTGCAGGAACATGATGCCTGTGAAATTCTCGTTCGAGGGTCTTTGTTTTGTCGTTGAAAGGTTTGGCTGCGACGAGCCGCGTGTCTGTCAGAGCATGCTGCGCCCAGCGCTCAACGTCGGCAAGAGAATATTGTGAAAGTTCTCCCGGGACGCCTGCCGTCGTGTCTCTCGCCTGCGCAACTGATGTTGCCGACCTCGGTGCTGTAATCTGCGTTTGGTGGATCGTTTCCTTGGATTATCTGGTAATTTCTTTACGAAGGTCGAGCTGAAAATCTATAATTTAAGTCCGAAGTGCAGCCAATTCGTCTTCCACATGTTTCGCCTAGGTGTTGGGTTCCTTCACCTCTGCTTCGGCAATTGCCTTGAGACCGCGGGGGTCGGAGTTGATAGTGTCCTGGGCGTTCTTGAACTCGTGCCCGAGGGTGTGGACCATGTGCATGGTAGGAGCAATATTCGTCTTAGGCATCTTCTGCATGGCTTTGAGTACTACTTGGCCATATTCGTCCAAATCGTAGTCGTCTTCGTCGTCGATGTTGAGCGTCATGGTCCCCGGGGAAATAGCGCATCAGAGTTGAAGACCACTTTGTTCATGTTGATGATGGTGTGCCATCTCGGAGTCCATAAATTCTGCCGAACTGACCAATCGCGCTTGCTTCAGGACTCTATTCGGCGGTGGATTAACCCAAGCGTGTTCTTCAGGTCGCTCTGGTCATCTAGGTCCTATTCGATCCGCTTGTGCGGTGAACGGCTGTCTCACAGGGGGACCTGGCACGCGCGGCTCGCCACCAGCTTTCGCAGAAGCCATCGCAGCCCATAGAGGTGGTACAAGAGTAGATGACATCGTGTGGATGTAAGATGTGGACGACAGTGAATAAGAGTACTAAGAGTATGAAAGAGTGCCTGGGTGGCTTAAGCCAAAAGGACTTTCGCCAACAACCCTTGAACCAAATGGCTACGGGGGGTACGGGGCGCGCGGCGCTAAGGCGAGAGCCACATCTTGAAACCGACATGCCCTCCATCTGTGAAGCTGTTGTCAATTCCACCAGCCATCTGGGCGTGGGTGGTCTAGGGCGCTTCCTCTTCCAACGCCATCTCTTCCTCATCGGGGAAGGGCTTATCCCTCCCCAAAACCCCTCCCCTGAACCTGGACGGGGCGCCCCGCGGGTAGTTAGAGCGTCCAAGATGGCTCAAGACGGCTCCAAGAGCGCCTCGGAAAGCCCAAGATTACCTCCAAGATGGCTCCAGATAGCGCAAGATGCCTCAAGATGGCCCCCCACAATGCTACAAACGGCCCCAAGACCGCCCCAAGACGGCTCCAAGAAACCTCCGAGACCCCCAAGGAGGCACCCAAGAAGCAACAATCCTTCAACAACCTAAGGACATCCACTAATGTTTGTGTTGCCGCTTGTTTGCTTT